TTATTTCAGTGACGCGCGTGAAACGAAGGAGCTCATTGGTCAAATATGATTCACAAATAAAATCTAATTGATCTCACCTCGGATGAACAGTTTAAGAGGAAGAGTTTAATGCTTGGCTAATTGTTTCTGCAGAAATATGTCATGTTTTTAGTCCATGTTTTTTTCCTTCATTTTTTCCAATACGAACAGGCCAGGCATGTCCCCGATTGGCTAGTCCACCTGTCAGTCACAGCCATTTGAAAACAAGTAGACCTGACTCACATTTTTGTTAGGCATTGAAGAAGTGTGTGTTCTAGATCCCTGGCAAACTACAGGGGCAAACTATTTACATGCCACATTTATAAGCACTCCTACTTTTAAATAAATATATCACATGTAAATTTTAGTTTTTATTTTTAGCTTGTGGTCTTGTACAGTTTGGATGTAAATGTAGGCAATTCTAAAACTAAATATGCAAACCTAAAAATGTTACCCTGTTTGAGTGATTTGTGTCATACATTACCATATTTTTTGGACGATAAGTTGCACCAGACCAGGAACCAACATTTCATTTCAAAAGGCAAGTTATAGTAATAACAATAGAACAGAGAACAACAGGCTGAATAGGCATCTAACATGTTAACTTAATATATTAACAGTTCTTCAGATAACTATAGCAGAAACAACATAACCTAAGTTTACCAAATTCTCCATCTCACTCCAAATCACTAAATCCATTGAATTCTTCATCCTCTGTGTCACTTCTGAGCAACTCCGTGACCTCTGGAGGTAAACGGAACATTGCTTCCTCTTCTGTGTAGCTGTTGTCAGACTCAGCATCAATTCCAGTTAGAATTATTCTGGCCTTTCTGAATCCCGACAGGATGGTTTCGGTGTCACTGAAGTCCAGGCTTTGGCAATCCATCCAATGACTTCCAAGAAAGTTAAATGGCGCATCCGCCTGATAGCAGACCCGCCCGGTTGCCGTGAATCTGTGTTCTCAAGCCCTGCTTTCCACCAGTCCCTCACAAGTTTCTCACTCACTCCAAACTTTCTTCTGCTGCTTGATTATCATTTTTAACTGCATATTTCACTCCATGCAGCAGGACTGCAGCTTTTTCTGCAGAAGACATGCGCAGTTATGGGCGAAGTGACAGTGCTACAGGAGTAACAGGAGCAGCAGATAGTGACACACAAACCTAGAGCGCCCTCTCGAGGCTGTCAGTGTGAACATTTTAATATATAAGTCGCACTGGAGTGTAAGTCGCAGGAAACACCCAAACCATGAAAAAAGTGTGACTTAAAGTCCGAAAAACACGGTATATCATATATGTTGAGTAACCAGTTTTGAAAGTACTTTTTAGTTTCAGTACATCTGTGGGTTTTGATTTTATTTTACCTGAAGAAATCCATATAGAACCATCTCCATCAAATTTCATAACGTCTTTTTAATATTCTGAGTGTGCACTGGGAAAAGTGTGATCTCTGGAGAAATCAAATTATAATCAGACTATGATGGGATGAGGAGCATAGTGGGAGTTCTTTGTGTGCTGAATAAATCTAGTGAATGTGCTGACTAACAGTGAGTCAGACATCACAGGCCTTTAAATGTCAACTCTTTATTACTTTAATTTAAGTGTTCCCTGCAATAATGAACCTCTTTAATACTTTTAAGTACACAGGAAAACAAGCAAGCACAACTAGACACACTACAGAGCAATGAGGCAATACTGGTGTTAGTTTCATAACAAGGCTGAACTTTATTTCAAAATTATCTATAGATTTGAAATTTCTATTTTCTTTTTTTTAATACTATTTATTGTTTATTTAATACTATTTATTGTGTCCAAGTTTCATACACACACAAAAAAATCTTGATTGACATTACAGTAGACACAATATTTCCATTTTGTTTGTTTTTATTCACATTTTTATCCCCATTTTAACCCCACCTTGTGCTAAAAAAAAGACTTAATATTGTATTGTATTGAATCAACATAATTAAATACAAACAATTAAAGACAAACATGAAAATATATTGATAATGAATATAAGTAAAAAATAATTGAAAATAATCACAATAATCATAATTAAAGAATATTGTGTGTAGAGAAAAGGGAAATAAATAAATAAAAAATAAGTGTGTACAATCTCTCAGTTGTCCAGGTAGAATCCATGGCAAAAGGAGAAATTCAATTTCTCAACTGGACTAAAGTTTATTTGGTCGAATACGTTTCGCATATGTTACACTGTTTCTCTTTAGTATAGTAAAGACCGCAGTGAGTGCTACACTTGAGAAACAAAACAGCCACTTAACAAGAGGATGAACTAACTAACTAACAGACGAGAGAGCCATAGTGGACCTCAGTCTAATGTACATCTCCATCTATAAGCCACAGGCCACTCCTTTGAGGACAGTGAGGTACAGGTCTTAGCCAGAGAATTAGTTTGAGAGGGGAGTTAAAGAAACTATTTTTGTTAGAGAGAATACTTCGTTTAACGGAAATGGAGGCCTCAGACACCATCTGTCTCCTATTTACAACTCCATCCTCAAACCTAAATCAAAACAAACAAAGACAACCAGGTCAGGCCCAGAGGTGTGAAAGCACCAATTATGGCCCTGATTATGTTAATATAAAGACCCCACACTCAGTCCAGCTTAGTAGGCATAGTTAACTAAAAAAAATAAATTAAACAAATAGCTCCTCCCTTCAGGCAGATATAAGGCAGTGTCCACCAGCATCTGACCAGAATTGAAGAAGCAGCTTGGATGAGCTGCAAAACATAGTCAAATAAATTTTGACCATTTGCCCAGTTGACAGATTTTTCCTTTTGCCAAATAAAAAATAAATAAATAGGGAAAATGCGCTCCCATCCTTTTTTATCCCTATGTCAGATGCCCTACCATCCTCCTCCTATATCCCCTTGTATCAGATGCCCTCCCATCCTTCTATATTTCCTGTAGTTTTAGGCTGAGATGGGGGCAGGTCAAATGCCTCTGCAGATGTTGTGGTGTGTGAGATGCCCTCCCAGATGTTGTGGTATAGTTGGAGAAATGCAATAGGAGAATGGACCTGGTCACTGATAGAAATGATCAGTGAAAACATTTGTGGATTTCACTTTTTGAGATTTGTTTTTATAAAAATGTAAAATAATGATTAGACGGGAGAGGGTCTTTGTGGCCTGGCGTCTGGCTAGTTTGAAGTGTGCTTTTTAGTGAGATATTTGAGTCTGTGGGTGTTCGCTGTGTTACATAACCAGCTGCACCTGACCTAAATATTCACAAATGTGCAAAAGAACAATACAGCTCACCCCTGTATCCCTGTGTGTCAGATGCCCTCCCGTCTTCTTATATAATTGTGTGTCATATGCCCTCATATACTTTTGTTCCTGTCTATCAAAACCCCTCCTGCCTTCATATGTGCCTGTGTGTCAGATGCCCTTCCATCCTGTATGTCAGATCAGACGCCCTTCCATCCTTCTATTTCTCTGCATGTCAGATTCTAGGTCTAAACCTGGACCAAACCAGGATCAAACCAAGTCTAAACCTGGTCTAAACCAGGTCTAAACCAGGAGCAAACCAAGTTTAAACCAGGTCTAAACCAGTACCAAACCAGGACCAAACCAGGTTTAAATCAGCTCTAAACTAGATCTAAACCAGCACCAAACCAGGTCTAAACTATGTCTAAACCAGGTCTAAATCAAGTCTAAACCAGGAGAAAACAAGGTTTAAAAAAGATCTAAACCAGGTCTAAACAGCACCCAACCAGGACTAAATTATGTCTAAACCAGGTCTAAATCAGGTCTAAACCAGGACTAAACAAGGTCTAAACCAGGTCTAAACACAATGGTGTATCCATAGCCCATTGACAGCCAATTGAACAGATCAATAGAAACTTGGATAGAGCAGCTCGATGTTTCCTACAGATCAAACCAATGAACTTTGAACTCTGACCTCTTCGCGGTAATCCACTCTGACACCAACAGTTAATGCAAATGGTATATGGTAATGGTGCATTAACTGTGATAAACCAGTTCTAATGTAGGTCTAAACCAGGTCTAAAGCAGATCTAAAAGAGGTCTGAGCAAAGTCTAAACCAGGTCTTAACTAGATCTTAACCAGGCCTAAACCAATTATCTATACATTATTAAACCTCTTGTGTTTTTGTGTAGCTCTTACAGTGTGAAAGGTCAATCTTCAGGGTCATGGGTCAAAGCTTGTAAGTCATTATCGAGAAAAGATCTGTCAAGACATCAATGTAAGATTGAATTTGAGATACAGCAGGTTACTCTTTTAGTCCTGGTTTAGATCTGGTTTGATCCTATTTTTACTCGGCTTAGTCCTGGGAGAGGTTTGTGTTGGTGTGGGAGGCTTCAGTTGTTGTTTAATTGAATATTATCACAAAGAAATGTTCAGCTGAATAGACTATAGTAATATTATTTTCCTTTTGAATATTTATAATAAAAATGCTGTGACACAGAAATAGTGGCTCTTATCAAACAGTCCGGTGTCAGTAAAACCATGTGGTTTGGAGAGAAAATGTTAACCATTTTAGAGGAGTTCACACTTATAAAGTAGACATATTATATTATATATATTATTTTTTCTTGGGTATTTAGTATAGTCTAAAATAGATAATTTTACATTTTGTTCATTTGAAATCGCAATTTTGATCTAAAATGGCTTAGTGACAGAAACAAGTTCATTGACTTTCTATTCAAAACTACAGAAGCTAAGCTGAAATTTTAGAATAATGCAAGTAAGAGCAGTGGGTGGGGATATATGTAGGTGAAAATTAAGATTTTCCACACACTCAAGCCCCGAAGTGAGAATAATACAGGATTACTGAGTCAAACATCCATGACTCAATCAAAATACAACATGTGAGTAAGATAAAGAGGCGGCAACACTATATGTGATAACATGGTTAAAAGTTGATTTATTAACATCTTACTCTTGCTTTGTCTCATTGTCTCCTACTTTGCTTCCTAACTTGTTCCCTTGTCTCCTCACTCTCTAGGCCCAGAGGAAGGAGGTGTTTCTTCAGGAGCGTTATGGACACTTTCAGTTGAGGGACCCGTTCCTGGCTCTGCAGAGGGACATGCAGTGCTCCGTCTCTGGGGACAAAGACACTCGAGTCCCAGGCTCCAGCCCCATGGCCGTGCTGCAGGCCGTCATGTCCCACTGCAGGAAGATGCAGGAGAGGATGTCTGCACAGCTCGCCGCCGCCGAGACCAGGCACAAGAGGGTGAGACCGGGTTTAGACCGGGTTAAGACCAGGTCTAGACTGGGTTTAGATCAGATGTAGACTGGGTTCACCAGATTTAGACCAGGTTCAGACCAGGTTTAGACTGGGTTTAGACCAGATGTAGACCAGGTTCAGACCAGGTTTAGACCAGGGTTAGACCAGGCACAAGAGAGTAAGAATGGGTTTAGACCAGGCTCAAGAGGGTGAAACCGTGTTTAGACTGTTTTTAGACTGTGTTTAGACCGTGTTTAAACCGTGTTTAGACCAGGTTTAGGCAAGGCTCAAGAGGGTGAGACCGGGTTTTGACCAGGTTTAGACTGTGTTTATACCGTGTTTAGACTGGGTTTAGACCAGGTTTAGACAAGGCTCAAGAGGGTGAGACTGGGTTTGACCGCATTTAGACCACATTTAGACTGCGCTTAGACCGTGTTTAGACTGTGTTTAGACCAGGCTCGATGGGTGAGACAGGGTTTAGACCACGTTTAGACCGTGTTTAGACTAGTATTAGACCTGGGTTTACTGTAGATTGGGTTTAGACCGGGTTTAGAGCAAGGCACAAGAGAGTGAAAGCTGTTAGACCTGGTTTAGACCAAGTTTAGTCTGGGTTTAGACTGCTTTAGAGTGGTTTAGGCTGGGTTTAGACCAGACACAAGAGGGTGAGTTCTGTTAGACCTGGCTTTAGACCAGGGTAGACCTGGGTTAGACCAAGTTTAGATTGGATTTAGATTGGGTTTAGACTGTAATTTTGAAAGTGTTTAGACCTGGGTTCAGACCTGGCATAAGAGGGTGAGATCTGGGTTATACCAGGTTTAGTCTGGCTTTAGTCCTGGTTTAGTCCTGGTCTAGACCCTTAGCCAATTTTCAAACAGTAGTTATTGCCGGGAAAGTCTTTGTTAAAGATTGAAGAGGGAATAATCGTAACTCAACATCTACTAAAGGAACTGTGTCATATTTTATTTGATCATTGTAATAAATCCTCATACCTCCTTGGAGACAGATAATTTTGCTTTTGCCTGGAATTTTCCATAGTATGGCATTAAACTTATCCATCTTGCTTTTATTGTCATTCGGTCTGGTGGCGTCACTTCTTTGTCTCCATGGAGATAGACAAGTTTTATGTCATACCATAGGACATTCAACGCAACAAATATCTGTAATGTACACAAATATATGGCAGACCCTCCACCCAAAAAGTTACACAGTGCACCTTTAAATTCTGATTTTGAGACTGGATTTAGTGTGATTAGTTGTAATGAGAATCGAACCTCTAAACTTAACGGTTAGTGGGCGCATGTCTCTACTGTCTGAACTACAGCTGGGAGCCGAGAGAGACGAGCAGAAATATCCCGTTACACTTTTAAATCTGATTCACGAGTCATTCCTCTGAGGTGAAGTCTACCCGGCGACAGGGGCATTCCAGCGAGCGCCGCGTGTCATTGGTGGATTTAAATGTCCCAGGGCAGTGCGTGATTGGCCGATTTAAAGGCTCAGATCTTGTATGACAGGAAGTAAAGCTGTGTAATCTGCTTTGACATGAGATTTATATGAGGCAAAGGATTATTCACACATTCTCCTCCTCTATGTGTGGGAAGAGAGAGAGAGGCAGCAGCAAAGTTAGAGTATGAGTTATGAAGTATTGCATTTAAAAAAGTTGTTTTCACGTTTTGTGTCAGATGCCCTTCCATCCTCTTATATCCCTGTGTGATCTGTAAAGTTTGTGGTGTAATCAGGTTCAATATTTGAGGATTTGTGTGAATAAATCTTGAAAATACCATCTAATAAACATAGGAAAACTTAGGTTAAGGGTTATGGTACACTTGTCCTCTGCATTTGACCCATCCTTCTATGTCGCTGGGCACCTCATTACCATTACCACTTCTTTAGGCGGAGGACTGGCCTATGATGCATGTTTTGGGTTGAGGGAGGAAACTGGTAGCCAGGCTGGCACCACCTACTGCCTCCACTCACTTTCATTTCTCTCCAGCGACTAGGTCAGGAATCAAAATACAATAGACGGTTTGCAAAAACCCTGGAAGTGCAAGTTCGGGCACCAGCCAATCGGTGAAGAGCCATATATTCAGTGTTGTCAACGATTCCCGAGATCGAGGATTTAAAGCCGGAACAAAGAGAATGTTGGGTGAATTTTATCAAGGGGAAAGACGCTATTGCCCTTCTTCCTACGGGATTTGAGAAAAGCTTAATATACCAGTTATCCCTGTTAGCAGTGAATTACATATGTCACGACCAAATAGTAGCGATTGGTTAAATGATAAAAAGTACCCGCCTACCGTCGAGCAAACGATTTCTAATGCTGCTTTTTACGAAGTGAAACCGGCTGATGAATAAGGCTAGGAAACTGGAATGTCTGGAGGGAACCTACACAGACACAGGGAGAACATGCAAACCCCACACAGAAAGGCTCGGGCGACCTGGTAGTCAAACCCGCAACCTTCTTACCACTGTGCCATATTATACAAAATCATATTTAGTTTAGTATTTTGATCAGTTCAAATAATTAGTGTTAGAGGAAACCAGAGCACCCAGAGGAACCGGAGCAGGTATGGGGAGAACATGGGGAAAACAGGATACAATACAATACATACAACTTCACAAACCTGATTCAGTGGGCAGCAGTTTCATTAGTGAGGTGCACCCTGATTGTGTTGTGATTAGGTGTGTGCAAAAATATCGAAATATTGATATATCGTATTATTTAATGTGATGATACAGTATTGATATCGGGGACTGCTGTATTGATATATCGGCAAGAGTATTTTTTGGTATATTTTTCAAAACCATTTAGTTACAGTGCTACAGTTTTGTTGTTTGTTTAGAGGAAGGAAACTTGTTTATGTGACACATTTGACATTTTCACTGTTTTAATATGTTTGTGTTTGATATGAACTTTGCACAAGAAGAGGTTTAACAAAGACTTTTAGAAAAGCAGCCATGATTTAGTCTTTATTTTTTATTGAACCAATCAATTTGAAATATATTGTATTGAACCAAAAGTGCACTGTATCGATATATGTATCGTATCGTAGCCAGTGTATTGAGGTATGTATCATATTGACAACTTCTTAATGATACCCAGCCCTAGCTGTGATAGTGCTCTGAAGGGGGAGTGACTTAGTGCAGAGAGAAAAGGGAGGGATTCAAAAACAAAAATGGTGCCAAAAACTTAAGTGAAAGTTATAAAACATTTGTTGTTTTTGGCGGATACAGTATTGTCAAAACAATAAAAGGTAACATGGTGATCTAAATATGTTATGTGTTCAGTTAATAGCCCATACAAGTAAAATACCCCCTCTTTGTGAACTCCATGAGCTAAGTTTGACACCACTGCTCTAAATCAAATTCAGGTAATTTTCACTGACATTTTTATTCTTTATCTCAGAGCAGTTTGCACATGTCCAGACCTGCTCCAGAAGGCTGATGATCTGAGCTGGTATCATCCTCCTTTATACGGGTTCGACCAGTCACTGTGTCAAATCAGTTACAACTGTGAACCCTCAGACTTCAAAACAGGGACACTTTCAAATTAATACACTGTAGAATTTTTACATTATATGGTAATCATAAATAATTCTAAAAGTCTTTTGTCTATTTTATTTGTCATGTTTTTAGCTGCACTAGAATAAAACGTGTTCTCACTGTGAGCAGACGTGCATTTACACAAACCTGAAATGTTGTTCCTTTGGCTATAATCTTACACAGTATGACATATCAGTCTCATGGAGAATGTTTTGAAGGACAGTTTTAACTTTCTGTTTCCATGGAAACTTTCAGGTAACATTTAAGAGAAGACAGAAATATAGACTACTAAACTAATATGAGCCCTGGTTTAGTCCTGGTTTAGTCCTGATTCAGCCCTAGGGTTTAGTCCTGGTGTAGTTCTGGTTTAGTCCCAGTTAAGTTCTGATTTGATCTTAATTTAGTCCTATTTTAGCCCTGATTTAGTTCTGGTTTAGTCTTGATTCAGTCCTGGTTTAGTCCTGATTTAGTTCTGGTTTAGTTCTGGTTTAGTCCTGATTCAGAACTGGTTTAGTCCAGATTCAGAACTGGTTTAGTCCTGGTTTAGTTCTGGTTTAGTCTTGATTCAGTCCTGGTTTAGTCCTGATTTACTTCTGGTTTAGTTCTGGTTTAGTCCTGATTCAGGCCTGGTTTACTCCTGAATTTGTTCTGGTTTAGTCCTTATTTAGTTCTGGTTTAATCCTAATTTTTTCTGGTTTAGTCCTGATTCAGTCCTGGCTTAGTCCAAATTTAGTCTTGTCCACAGCTCTTAAGATACGAATAGATTTTCTCTGCATCTTTTCTGATAGAAAGGCGTATTATGCATTAAAACAAGAGAGGAGCTTTTCTCTCACAACAAATTGAAAACATTTTAATCATTTCTGTCCAATCACAGTCCCCGATAGTCCCTTCTCCCCTCTGTTACCGGGTAGACTCTGTGTTTCTATCTTTACCCTGTCCCCTGTGCGTGCCTTATTGAATTATCCATGAGTTTCTGCTGTACTTTAGACTTGTATATCACTTTATGGACCACTCTCTCTTCTCTCTCTTTCAAGGATAAAAATAAAACAGGTTTTGTAGATCTGAAATATTAATTACAAGTTGAAGCACAATTTGAATTACGATTACAAAATTATGAAAACCTCTACAAACATTTTTCCATTAATATAGTAGTTCAGATTTCAGTATTTTCTCAAATATTAATGCTCCACGACATATTTTAAGATCTGCATATTGTAACTTTTCTTAGCTTCTTGTGTCCATAGAGATGTTATTGCTTTGCCTGAAAGGTTCCACATTATGGCATTTAAAGGGCCCATATGATGCTATTTTGTGATTTATGTTCTAATCTTGTTTCCTCATTACAAACATATCTGGAGCTGTGTTTTGTTTCATTCACATGTTTTACACACAAACCTTGTATTTCTGAGCTGAGTTCTTCTCTCAAACAGAAAATACTCTGTACCACCTAATGATGTCATGTGGAA